CAGACTATGCAGGGGTGTGGAAATAAAATTAAAAAAACTACTTGTCCAGGGACTAAAGTGGGGGCCCAATCTACTTGTCTCTCCTGACAGGCTACTTGTCGTGATACAAAAAAATATTTTAACCAAAACCGTATTCAAAGGAGAACTACAAGGTGAGTAATTTACACTTCTCCTAGTTCGAGCCGACGTGTGACATTGAAACTGTCACACGTCGGCTCTATTGCTCGGGAAGTGAAAGAACACATACCGTCGCCCACTCACTTCCCGATCATCTCCCTGCAGAGAGCCATGACTGTCAGTCAATCAGCTAGCTAGAAGGATCTCGACAATATTGTCAGGATCCATCCTGGCTGTGGCGCTCTCAGTATGTAGCGAGCAAAGCCCGCGATGTACTGAGCTTTGGGTCACGGGAGGAGGGTAGTATATCTCCTCCCGTGACCCTAAGGAGAACTATGGCATAAAAAGGTTACCCCATAGTTCTCTTTTAACCGTGCTAAGAAATGCTTTTCAGTGTGATCAGGTGACAACGCCGCTACATTTAGCAGGGCTAAATGTCGAAAAAAACTCACCTGCCCAGCACACGGAACTTTGTATGTATGTTACTATACATTAATGATGTATTCACTTAAACATTTGCAGAAATCTCTCTCGGTCTCTCTCCATAGATAGATTGATGTACAGTATGTTGTAATCTATACTTGGCATTCTATTGCTAGATAACTTGTTTTAATACATTTGCTATAATGAATAAATATAATGAATACCTTTTTATATAACAATTGGAACACCCGCACACATCCTATTTGTGCGACCTGTGTTTAGTTATGCTTTACGCTAAACGGGCAAATGTAAATCACTCCTGGGTAAGCCTGCACATTTATGAGGATTTTAGGATCGATGGAATAGATTTTCCTTTCCTTTGTGGCTTCTGTGACTAATAAATATTCTTTCAGGTTTTGTAGCTGAGTAACATCTGTGTTTGCATTTTGTGTGAATTCTGAAACTCACAGCATCACTAATTCTTGGGGCCGTATCATCATTGTAGCTGGATCACTGTTCACTTGCTCTTACAGCATTGCTCCATTCCTGGCTAAACCAGAGGTATTGCTGCTTTGCTGACTACCCCCACCCACCACCCCACTGGTGAGCAATGATGTAGGAGCAGGTAAGTGGTCCCTAGCAAGTACAGCTAGTGAAATGGCCCTAACTGTGAATGTTACTGCATATAGCAACTATTGTGTTGGAAACTGCAGATAATTGTTGAATTGCAAATTTCACTAAGTTGTAGCTTAGTGAAGACCACCATCTTGTCATGCTGCTAAATGTTTGTGGTGGACTTTGGGCAAAATATATGAATGTAAGTTCAGCTAGTTTTCCAATTTATCAAACTGGCAGGTTAGAACATGCACTCGCCCTTCTCCCCTAACTCATACTGTTGAATTCTCTTCTAAATACAGTGGGGGGACTTATCAAAACTGGAGCAGACACAATCTGGAGCAGTTGTCCATGGCAACCAGTCAGCATCTCTCTTCAGTGTTCGCAGGTATGATTTGAAACAGAGTCCGAGAAGCTGATTGGTTGCAGTGCAAGTCTGCTCCAGTTTTGATAAATTCAGTGTAGTTACCTTAGATCAGTGTTTTTCAACCACTGTGCCGCGGCACACTAGTGTGCCGTGAGATATTTTCTGGTGTGCCGTCAATAAACACCTAATAAGGGAGATATTTTACCTTTTTTTTAGAAATCCCTTTTCTTTCTTTTTTTTTTTTTTTATTTCTCTTCATCCAGTCCGGAGATTTACACAGCCCTTTGAGACAACACAGCCAACCTGGTGACCTAGCTTTTCTCTACTGCAGTTAAGAAACACAGATGGGTCATTGGACAGTAAAGAAGCAGCAACAGACCATTAAGGCCTTCTATCGGTTCCTTTTTTCCCCAGTCATCTTCTAGGACAGCCAATGAGAAAAGGCTCCGCCTGCCTGCAACAGGAAACACATCATCCACATTAGATAAAAAAGAGCATCCTACTATCTCACCTCAGTTTTAGTGTTTCCTCCTGCCGAACAGGAGTATCGAGTATCGTAACGTTTGTTTTTTGTACAGGCCATCCTGCCAGTTGCAGGGGCCTCCCATTTTATGCAATCCTTGTAACACAGGGACATGTAAATCCTGAAGCTCTGCATATATTGCCTTCCCAATAGAGACCTCCAACCGATTCAATAGTCCAAGGTTTCCCTCCATAATTGAAGGGGTGGCAACCATCCTCCACTGCGTGAGTTGTCTCAAGACAGAGTCCCCCTGTGTGTGTGTGTCTTGGGATAACGGAGTTATTGTCCTGCTGCTATCAGTAGCCTTCCCCTCGAGGGTCCACAGTGGTGGTAAGTAATCCCCCTGGTAGCAGATTGGGAATGGGTCTCGCCATGTGGGACCCCACCAGGCTACTTTGCCTATCCTCAACGGCTCCCTCTCGCATATAGAGGTGAACTCCTCCCCCTCCAGTCAAAAGGTATTTTCTGTACCCTTCGGTCTCTCTTCCACTCTGAGGATTTTCACCAAAGTGCTGGCAGAGGCTCTCGCACCTCTGAGGTCCCAAGGGGTTAGGGTCATTCCATATTTGGACATCCTTTTATTTTTTGCCCCTTCAGAGGACCTCCTACAACAGAAGTTGGCCTTTGCCATCGAGCACCTGGAACACCTCGGTTGGCTGCTAAACAGAGAGAAGTCACAGCTGGTGCCTTCGCATACTGTAAAAATATTTAGGGTACTGGCTGGATACCCGCAACACGATGATATCCCTTCCTCGGGAGAAACCCACTTTGCTGACCTCAGAAACAATGAATCTGTTGAGCGAGCAAAGCATCCTGCAGCTCGATCTTGAGAGTTCTAGGCTTGATGCTATGCTGGCAGTCTTTTGGGCACAGTTGCATTCCAGGCCCCTTTTAATAATTTTTCTTGAGTCTCTGGGGAGACTCCAAGAGATCCTAGACAAATAATTATTTCTTACCGAGCCAATCAAACAGTCTTTGCTTTGGTGGATGGACAGTTGAAAACCAGGGGGGGAGGTTGTGGAGTCAACTGGAGCCACTCAGTCACCACAGCCTACATAAACAATGCAGGGGTCATTGCGGCACCCACAGGTACAGGCATTGAGATTAAAGGCCTGGTTTCTGAGAGGGACATCTTGGTCAGGAAAGGGCTTTCTGAAAAAGTAGTGTCAACTCTCTTAAATAGTTAGGAAAGCTTTGACGTCCGCAAAGTGTGGAAGGTTTTTTTCCGCTTGGCATAATAGACGGGAACGGGCAGCGGCCAGAACAGTGGCTCTTGTGTTAGAATTCCTTCAGGAAGGACTAGAAAATCATGCTTGCAGCACTCAAAAAGTTAAATTTTCTAGATATCAACTTAGCTGAAGAACCTCTTATCAAATGGTTCCTGAAGGCAGCGAGTAGGTTGAGACCCCCAACTCATAAAAGCGTTCCTACCTGGGATCTGTCGATAGTCCTTCGGGGGTTTCTTAGATCACCTTTCGAACCAATCCAAGAATGTTCCCTTAGGGCACTCACTTTGAAGAAGTGCTTCTGGTGGTTTTAGTGTCAGCCAGAAGAGTGAGTGAAATGCATGCTTTTTCTATTCTTGGCGCAATGTGGCTCATCTTAACAGATAAGATTGTTCTCAGACCCGACCCAGCTTTTTTTTTTGCCAAAAGTGGCCTCTATTTATTTTTATAGAACACAAGAGGTCATCATAAAATCTTTTTAAACTAATCCAACCAATGATACAGAACGGGAATGGCAGAGCATCGATGTGAAACGCTGCATGCTGGAGTATCTCTCAAAAGACTAAAGAATGGAGAAAATCTGGTAACCTCTTTGTCTTATTTAATGGTTCAAGGAAAGGTAGTAGAGCCTCCAAAAGTAAAATAGCTAGGTGGATTAAAGTCGCCATATGGGAGACTTACAAATCTCAGGGCAAGATTTAACCAGGGAATTCCACGGCACATTCCACCAGAGCCTGGGCTACTTCATGGGTGGAAAAAGCAGGGGCCACACCAGTTCAGATCTGCAGAGCAGCCACTTGGTCCAGCTTCCAGACATTTGTCAGGCAATACAGAATCAATAGGCTGGCACACCAGGGCCAAGCTTTTGGCAGGAAGGTCCCGCAAGCAGAAGTCCCACTCTAAGTAGGTGAGCATGGCTCTTCTTATTCTCTCATTGGCTGTCCTGGAAGATGACTGGGGGAATTGTGAGTTAGTTACCTGGTAACTCTGTTTCCAGGAATCTTCCAGGACAGCAGGTTCCCTCACGAAAACAACTTTGGTTGTGGCAGTGAAGAATGTTATGTACAAATAGAATTCCAGGGGGAAAAAGGTGTTAGTGGAAAGTTACTTATATTTATGGCCTTTCGGTCCTTGACGTTACTGAGGTGAGATATTAGCGGGCTCTTTTTTTTAATCTAATGGATGTGGATTTATCTAGTGGATGATGTGTTTCCTGTTGCAGGCAGGTGGAGCGTCCTCTCATTGGCTGTCCTGGAAGATTTCTGGAAACAGAGTTAAATAACTAACTTTTTCTTTTTTTTCCTGGTAGCTTAATTCTTGTCAGCACACGTGAATGCAGGACACCTGGTTGGCACCACGTACTGGCCCTCATTGAGGATATTGATACTAGTTGCATTTTAAATATATTCAATTATTAAATGGAAATATAATTTTACTACATGGTGTTTTTGAATATCAGCATCATACTTATCAGTGATCATGATAACACCTCAGTCAACAGTGGTCACGATATCACCTGCAGTTTGGTATAAATCAAACATAATTTAGACCTGGATTATAACATTAATTATTTTCTTTTCTTAAAGTTCTTTTGATCAGCATTAACATTTTTGGACAGTATGCATTATGTGCAGTGCTTATATGTAGAATGAATCTAAGTGACATGTAATAATTGTAATGTTGTTCATTTGTGTCAATAACTGCCTGCTTTTGTCTTTGGCTGTTGCAGGCGGGGGCCAGCTCCATGTGGGCATCTTGCTGCGGGCTGCTGAATGAAGTAATGGGCACTGGTGCTGTGCGAGGGCAGCCAACACCATTCGGAGGTGGAGCAGGTCCCTTTAGATTTGCACAGAACACCGATTTTTCACCATATCCTTCTTCATCCTCCACCATTGTGTGTAAAGCTTGTGGCCTGGCATTTTCTGTTTTTAGAAAAAAGGTGAGCTCATGTTTAATGTATGCAATGTACCCCAAGTAATCGGGAGGAAGTCATTCTGTAGAGCCAATCGGGGACCTGAGATTCATGTGTTCTGGTTCATTGCCAGTATTGGTTCAGCCCACAGAATGGCTGCTTCCTCTGAAGGAAAGTACATTTTCAGATATTACCATAACGCTTCTATGCATTAAAAGGTGATTTCTAATCTAAAATATATAACTTGTGGCCACTTTATGAATGAACTATTCATGTATGGTAGTGGTAGATTTTTTTTTTTTTGTAAGATACAGATGGTGTAAAGGAATATAAGCTGACATAGGTGGATAGTTCATGGGGCCTTTACAAGTGCTAGTTGTGCTTGTGACTGCTTTTATTTCATGCCCTTCTTTCTGAAGAACCAGGAACTCCCTTGTGTTTAAAAACCATGGGTGGAGGTTATTGATGCGCACCTGTGATAGTGGCTTACCTACAAGTTTGGTCCTACCACTTAGACCTTTGGCACCAAAAATTACATTGTCTTCCTTGCCCTCAGACTGACTGCACTCTTGCTATAAATGTTGGGGTCCTGTGTTTCCCCTTGAGACACTATCCACATGAAGTTTCTCCTCATATTTTAATGTGTTTATGGCAACCCTAATTTAATAAATCTGTTTATACCGATATGGGTGCAATTGTTTGTTAGAACCCCCGGTCAGGATTTTTATTTTGGTCTCTGTCAAAAAGGGAGATTCAACCTTTATTTGCCCTTTTTTGTTTTCAGTTGTCACCAGAACAGGAAGTTTGTGGAAACCCACCAATGGCCACCTAGTGCCTTTACAACTGACAAAAAAGGGCTATTCCCCCCTACTTTTGTAGAGGTTTAATTTCACTTCCTATTGGGTCTCCAGGACAGGAAGCAGAGGGATATCTTTTGAATGGGACACAGATGGCAAAAAATAAGCCTTGAAAGGTTTTATTCATTCCCTACTCTATCCAAAAAAGATGGCTTTAGATTTACACTATATTGCCAAAGGTATTGGGACACCCTCAGGAGTTCCTATCGCCTCCATGGCCACAGGTGTATAAAATCAAGCACCTAGGCATGCAGACTGCTTCTACAAACGTTTGTGAAAGAATGGGTCGCTTTCAGGAGCTCAGTGAATTCAAGCGTGGTACCGTGATAGGTTGCCACCTGTGCAATAAGTCCATCCGTGACATTTTCTCACTACTAAATATTCCGCGGTCAACTGTTGGTGGTATTATAACAAAGTGGAAGCAACTGGGAACAACAGCAACTCAGCCACGAAGTTGTAGGCCACGTAAAATGACAGAGTGGGGTCAGCGCATGCTGAAGCGCACAGTGCGCAGATGTCGCCAACTGTCTGCAGTGTCAATAGCTACAGACCTCCAAACTTCGTGTGGCCTTCAGACTGGCACAACAAAAGTGCGTAGAGAGCTTCATGGAATGGGTTTCCATGACCAAGCAGCTGCATCCAAACCTTACATCACCAAGTGCAATGCAAAGCGTCGGATGGAGTGGTGTAAAGCACGCCGCCACTGGACTCTAGAGAAGTGGGGACGTGTTCTCTGGAGTGACAAATCACTCTTCTCTGTCTGGCAATCCGATGGGCGTGTCTGGGTTTGGCAGTTGCCAGGAGAACGGTACTTGCCTGACTGCATTGTGCCAAGTGTAAAGTTTGGTGGAGGGGGGATTATGGTGTGGGGTTGTTTTTCAGGGGTTGGGCTTGGCCCCCTTAGTTCCAGTGAAGGGCAATCTTAAGACATCAGCATATCAAGACATTTTGGACAATTTCATGCTCCCAACTTTGTGGGAACAGTTTGGGGATGGCCCCTTCCTGTTGCAACATGACTGCGCACCAGTGCACAAAGCAAGGTCCATAAAGAGATGGATGAACGAGTTTGGGGTGGAGGAACTTGACGGGCCTGCACAGAGTCCTGACCTCAACCCGATGGAACATCTTTGGGATAAATTAGAGCGGAGACTGAGCCCGGCCTTCTCGTCCAACATCAGTACCTGACCTCACAAATGTGCTTCTGGAAGAATGGTTAAACATTCCCATAGACACACTCCTAAACCTTGTGGACGGCCTTTCCAGAAGAGTTGAAGCTGTTATAGCGGCAAAGGGTGGGCCAACTTAATACTGAATCTTACGGACTAAGACTGGGATGCCATTAAAGTTCATGTGCGTGTAAAGGCAGGCGCCCCAATACTTTTGGCAATACAGTGTATATTAAATGATCAGCTTCTTTAGTGGCAGGAAATTGTGTGAATAGTCTACTTGTGTGTATTTTGTAAAAGCTCCGTGGAATTTTTTGGTGATGGTTAAATTTATCAAATAAATATTTCATGTTTATTGCAGAATACTAAACAAATCATAGCAAAAATTGCAAGCTATCTGTCTTGTGTTTCAAGGGAGGAGAGCAAATTGCTCCAGAGCGGTCTTTTAATAAGTACAAACCGGAAAGCCATAGTAAATTATGACCAGTCATTTCCTCTATTGAATATCAATCTGTTTGATGGCGGTCCCTGAACAACACTTGTCTGGTGTCTGACAACCATCGAAGAAAATAAAAGCCTTAAATAAATCCTTTTTTCTGTACAAGATAATTTACTTGTGATTGTATGCATCCATTAGGTGTGGAAATGATTGTGGCTTCCTGTGAGATGGAGAGGCACGTAGGAACAGCTGCACGCCCCTGCTACTTTCTATATTGTTTAGTGCTTAGTGCGTTTGTCTGAAATCCCACTCTTCATTATTCTAAATGTACCCTGCAGAGTCCTAGTCAAAAAGAATTCATGCTGAGTTCTCATAATAAATGAATTGGGTTTTAGAACTTCTAAAACGTCCTTTGGTGCACCTGGACAATGGAACAAATTACAGAACTGCAGTTGTATTCTAAAGTATGAGGTGGGTATTTACTGCAAAATCATATCCCTATCAAAAAAGATTTTTCTTCTAACTACTAACTGCAGCACTCGTTTCACATATTTAATAATGATCTTAAAGGACAACTGCACCTTTATTTTAAATAGTCATATTTTAATGAGCCTAGCCAATAAAATCAGCAATAACAATGATATACTTATAGATAGATAGACATAAACTAAGATTTTGCCACAGTCTTCCCAACTTAACTCTGTTGCTAAAGTCAGCCAAAATGGTGGCCACTCATGTCAACACTGAGTGACCATTTAGGCTGCTATGAATAGGGCAAAAGGAAGGGAAGCCAATTGGTTGAAACCTGAACATTGAAAAAAAAAACTACTTGCTTACTGGGTATAATTAGCTGATTGGTGGCATTACACAATAGGATAAAACGGGTGGAAGAGACCAAATGAGGGGGAGAGGGCAGGAGCGAGTTTCTTCAAGTGTATTTATTGCTAAGAATTGTAGAATGCAGGATCGTACTTCCTGTGTACTCGTTCCTCCACAGGAACCTGGGTGGCCACAGGAGAACTATGGGGAAAAGCCTTAACCCCATAGTTCTCCTTCAAAGATGAAAGAAGCAGGTTGGTTGCCATGGGCAACTGCTCCAGATCCTGTCTGCTCCAGCCTTTGATGCATTCCTCTCCATGTGTTTTAGCTTCCGGTATATTTCTGCAAGTGGCCAAAATTTAGAAACCATATCCATGCAAAATTAGCAGAATTACGTTGTCCCAGTTTTGTGATTGGTGGAGTCTGTGACAGCCAAATGAGACAGCTGGTAAGCATCTAAAACAACCAGTCACAGATCATTCAAAGGCGTTCCAAAAAAATCAGATTAGAATTGATTGTGAAGTCAGCACTAGCACTTGTTTCCAGAAATAATTTGGCAAGGAGTATAAATATTTTGTAGAAATGTCATGTTTCTCGTTCAATGGGTAACACAGGACTCCGAGAATTATATATTGCTACCTACAGGAGGTCTTGGTGACTGGCAAATAAAGTGACCAGCCCAATTACCCACTCCCACCATGCCTTACCCAGTGTCTGGACTATCACTGTGATGTAGACAGTTCACACCTTGAAATGTTTCAGTTGGATCCTTAACCTTTAAAAGTCAGCATTATAGCCAACTCATCACTTGAATTATCTGAGTTTTATCCTAGACCTAGCTCAAGCCAGAGTTTTCCTTTCTCAGGAGAAACGTAACTCTCCACTCCCAAATTCAGACTCTGCAGTCCAGGAGCCAACTCCTTGCTTCTGAATTAGATTTCTGCGTCTGATGGTAGCCTTCTTCAAGGCAGTCCTGCCTCCTGATCTCTTGGAAGATCCTCTCAAAGGATACTATCCTGATAGGCTGCAGAAGAGTCCTAGATACCTTTTAATGGTACATGGGACTCGGTCGCCAAACAAATCCTGTTTCCCGATCAACATTCTGGAGCTCTGAGCAGTTTGGTTGCCCCCTAAAATATTGGACCTCCCAGACAACACCACAGCATCAGAGGCTGGCTCATTAAGGATCAGGTTCCACCCTTTTTTCCTCTCAAGACACACTCTTGTAGAACTGTGAATGCTTCTTGGGCTTTTCAGCATCAGGCAACTGGCAACAGTTTCCTAGATTTGCATGGTTATCTCCTCTGTTTACACATTCTGGAGTTTCATTAAAGTTCTACTAGGTGGGTGTTCATGCCTATTTTGATGCCAGCTTTGGGTAAAAGGTCTTTCAGGCAGCTCTTTGAACTGCCGGCAGCCCCCAGTTCTGTTGCTGTGGGGGCCTCTTAGTGTTTTGGTACTGTTGCCGGACCTTTAGTTGGACTGCTTTTGGATATCCCAATTGCCTCTGAATCCTGTGTCCCTCGATGAACAAGAGAGAAAAACTGGATTTTTGTGCTTGCCATAAAATCCATTTCTTGGAGTTCATTGGCACAGGTCCCATCCATCTGTGTTTTATAAACTTGCTCCTAGTTTATATTTTCTCAAACAAATTGGAGCATCCTGGGAGTAAAAAGGGTTATACCAGGCTGGTTACAGTTTTTCCAAATCCTCCTGTAGGTGGCAGTACAACCAGTTGAAGTACAGAAATCTAATTTGTAGGTCCTGTTAACCAGTTGACATCCGCGGTGTTAAACCCCCTTCCCATCCAGGCCATTTTTCAAGGACATAAACTAGCGTCGTCCCATCGCCCAAAGCTTATTTTCCACCATAATTTGCAAATAAATTAGTTCCAAATCAGCTAATTTGATTTGTCTGGATTTGTTTTCTCATTTTGTCTCTCATAGTTGAGGTCTACCTATGATGCCAATTACAGGCCTCTCTCATCTTTTTAAGTGGGAGAACTTGCACAATTGGTGGCTGACAATACTTTTTTGCCCCACTGTAAATGAACTGTCCAGGTCTCTCCATCTTGTTTTATAAAATGATTTGACTGATATAGCCGAATGCTAGTAACTAATTCAAAGGATTAAATATCTCTTGAAGATGGCATAGGTAAAATGATTTTCATAAATTATATGTAAGTAGTCTGTGCTGTTAAGTTTGATATTTTTCTAGGGCTGATTGTCATTTGTAAGTGTGATTTTGTAGTATTGCAGCTATGTTTTCAGTACAGTTCCAGAACATTAGTCTTTGTATCATCATTTGTCTCCATTGAGACCATTACTGGTCAGTGTTCCTTTACTTGGCAAGGTTAGAGAATCGTGGGTGTTTTATCTGTCCCAGGATGCAGATGGATAAATGGCAGGCATTTGTCTGTGATATTTTTCTTTCTTTCAGAACTGCCAATGCATTAGCGAGTATGGCTGCACTTGTATTTTGTGTACAAAGCCATATATCGAACGTTTTCTCTAGAGCTCCTTTTGACAAACGTTTTAAGGCAACTGTTTCATATTTTGCATCCTGCACTCATAATGAAGTTGTATATGTTGCCTTTTTTACTATTTAAAAAAACAAACATTTTTGAGGATCAGTTTTCATCTAATAAATTGCTGTTATATGTTTTGCAAGCTGGTTATGGATTCAGTTATCACCAACATACTGTATAAAAATAAGTTTTATATACTTTTGGTCACCGTCCATGACTTTGTATTGGAATAACAAGGTCAGAATTATGCTGTTGGAAATCATGTTCGCATGAGCTAAAACCTTTTGATCTTGCAGTGTACCAAGCTGGAAAAAAAATTGTCTGACCACTTGCTATTGAAAAGCTTGTGAAGCACCTAGACTGCATTTGGGGTGTGAAAACATGCTGCAATATACATATGTGCATCACATGTTTTTTTTCAAGGCCTCTATCTACTGATATAATAAAAGCAGTCCAGTCTAGGAGTCCACTTCAGAGCTACGGAATGTGTCTCAATTGACGCCTTTAGCAAAAGCATTAAAACAAAACAAACCTGCACCGAAAGAAATATGTAGATTGCTGCACCAGCTCTGTGCTTTGTGATCCCTGTGATTGGTTGTCACTGGGATCACATGGCAATGGTTACTTTGCCAAGCCATTCCGGGGAGGCTGGGAGAGTACAGGAACTAATGAATGAATGAGTCACCAATGAACAATAGAAATCATCAGCACTCCGTAAATGAAATTTAAAAAAAGTCTATTATTTGGACTAAACGTCACACGTATCGCATAATCTAACGTTTCGGGACCACGCAGGGTCCCTTCATCAGGGCAGAGATGTGACGTCCCTGCGTGGTCCTGAAACGTTGGATTATGCGATATGTGTGACGTTTAGTCCAAATAAATTGACTTCTTTTGAATTTAATTTACGGAGTGCTGATGATTTCTTTTGTTCATTGACTCTTGTACACGGCGCCATCCGTGATTGTCACTGCAAGCACCACTATTGTCACTTGGACCGGAAGCGCTGTAAGGAGTGCAGGGGGACCTACTGTTTCCTGAATGAGTCACCATTCATTATTCTTTGGTGAAAACAAACAAAAAAAAAGACCTTTGTATTATTTAACCCTATCACCCCCTTATTTCCCTGTATCCCTGTATATGTCCACTCCGTTCTGTCTCTGCTCTGAGCTGTGTAATAACCCTTTCACCTCCCTTATCCTCCACATCTGTACAATAACCGTTTCACCTCTACCTGCCTCTGTGTATGACCTGGACATTAAATGTATGTAGTGCACCATTACCAAGCTCCTTGTTTTAACCCTCTCAATACTGGCATGTTTCTTCATTTCCAAAATTTGTGTCTGTGCATTTTTTTGTTTGCCGTGTTTTACAACAGAAAGTAAGGGAAAACAGTTTTTTTTCCCAACACTTATTTCCTTTACATAGTAAAACAAATTTAAAGTGGTTATTAAATATCACCAAAGAAAGCTCTATATGTCTAAAAAGATAACTTGGGTACAGTGTTGCGTTATGGCGTAATTCTCAGTCAAACTTTCACAGCACTGAAAAGTGTCCTGCTATTGAAAGGGGCTTATCAAGCCAGTACTGAAGTGGCTAACAAACCAAAAGGCACCAAATAGGAGAACTTCATCGTTGGGGTTCATGTTCTCTTTAATATATACAGCATGTGTTTTGTATGCACTCTAGTACACAACTAGAGTTTTTGGTATAGCCTCATTATGATGGAATGCTCTTCTTTTGTTTTTTCTTTAGCATGTCTGCTGTGACTGCAAGAAAGATTTCTGTTCGGTTTGTTCTACACTTCAGGAGAACCTCAGGCGTTGCAGTACCTGCCATCTACTACAAGAAACTGGATTTCAAAGGCCTCAGTTAATGAAATTGAAAGTCAAGGATCTGCGACAGTATCTGACTCTAAGAAACATCCCCACTGACAGCTGTAGGGAGAAGGAAGACTTGGTGGAACTGGTGATTTGCCACCATGGCTCATGTCCCGAAGAGGAGATGGATGTCAATATGGACAGCTCTGCACGATCACAGACATCTGCCTTCTCTTTTTTTTCTGCTATATCAGCGCCTTCATCTTCCTTATCCTCATCTCAGGGAGAACTATCTGATAGAAGCGGAAGCGTGGGAAGTGCTTCTACATCCCAGGTACTTGGGATAGTGCATTGATCAGGCACTCCTCTCTACAAAATCAAGAGTGTATAAAAAAAAAATGCCAGCATTCACTATTATGAGCGTATCATGAATTTGCCTGCAGACCACTTACTGAAAAGCTGCATTGTTTAAAATTTAACTGTAACCTATTCCAATGTTTCATTAACATAATTGCTCATACAAGTTTGATGATGGAGCAATTCTAGTTCTGTAACATTGGCTTAATATGAACTCTTGATTTAGGACACTTGGTTTCATTACTGTTAAAGCTGAACAGCAATCCTAAACCACCCATGCCATCCTCACAACATGTCATTGTACATTAACATATATCAGATCAGCTGTAACCAGCCTGCATTATACCATTGCATGCAATTTGCTCACCCCCTACTAAACTACAGGCAGCCAATTTATCATCAATACATTCAGGGGAATCTGTACAGTGCTGAAATTCAAGGTGAAACAAAGCTGCAATGGAGCACGTGTTGGTCGCTTGAAAATGGGGTAAGGGGGTCATATGAGGTCTGCTAATGAGCACTTGCATGTGATGAGGAGCCCAAGCGGATGATTAGGGATAAATGATTTATAATTTTCATTTCTTCTTGCCTGTGGTTACCTGTAAACCTGCGGTTGCCCATCATGCAGGGTAAAGCAATAGTTTAACTTTAATGCAAGCCCTGACAGCTTTTCTTAATTCCCATGTCCTTTGCTTTGTTTTGCAGTTGGTAGTAAAGTAAACCTTTTGCTATGTCTTGTATAGGGAAAGCAAAGAATCACTGTAGATTCTATGGTATAATGTTGTTTACAGGACACTGGACAAAATCCTAAGAGGCAGGGTTATTCAGTGCTAAAAAAAAAAACAAATTATATTTATTCCACTTCGGTTATACTGCCACCCAGGCCCTGGGTTTGGATACTGGCAAACCACAAAAATAGAAGTGATGAGTCTGGTATCCCTCCCAGCATGCCTGTTTTTCTCAAGATGCTTTTTCTTTAATCCTCTTCTTCACAGCTTCTCGATAAGCTGCTTAAGCTAGTCCCTGTATGCAGCTATCTGACTTTGTGGATCCGAAATAGCCTTGGAGGCCATACTCGGACTCCGTTGGACTGGACGGTTGTGGAGCTTGCATGGAATGTGACCTTTTGGGCACTGGGCTCTGCACTGCAATGCTCTGCATTTTTCAAGACCTCTGTGTAATCTACTCCTAGCCACGGATCACTTTCCAGGTTCCAACTCAACTTTATTGCAATCACACAGGGGATAACAATCCCCTATGTGATCACGTTAGGAGGCGACAGGTTCTCTTTATGGAGCTAGCCCTCCAATACAGAAGATTGAGCACAGCATTGTGCTCGATCTTCTGTACAGCCCAGCTTCTGACAAGACAGCTGAGACCAGAAGCACTGTGATTACAGTACTCCTGTCTCACTGATCACAGCAAATCGGAGAACAGACGTTCTCCGGTCTGCTTCCCGCTCTCTATCCTGAAGCCATTTGCCATGTTCTGGGTTCCCCAGAAGAGCGGGGGACCCCGAAAACCACGGCGGAGGTAACACATAAGATCACTTGTACAAAATGAGCAGCGGCTCCCCTGCTCTACATTTAGCTCTGCTTGCCTGCTGCGTAGCAGGGCTAAGTGTTTTTTTCTACATTAGCCCAATGCACGGAATTTCATGTCTCGGGCAATAGGGATTGGGTGCCCCTGGTTCCAGGATTCTTGGCATAAGTGGCATAGCCCATGACTCCCAGACTTGGAGAGACCATTTCAGTTTTTATTGATGCGGTTCATACCAAATTAAAGATGGAGGAGCAGCCTGTAACTTCCACTAGTGCTGCTTCCTCATGAGAGGTGCTAAGACTACTAAAACATTTCCCATGCCCTCGCTATTCCCAGGCACCCTGTACACAGACTGGGAAACCCCTGATAAACTAGGTACTTTCTAAAACCTTGTTTCTCTGGCAGATCCGTGCATTGGAATTTGCCATGGCTGTAATGCTAGTCTGCGAAACATAGGGGAAGGATATTAAACTCACGAGAAGGGATTCGGCTTCGCTTCACATTAATCCTCTGTTTATGGCTGCTCATGTCAGCAGCCCTGCACCTTGCTGTAGACAGATTAGTGAAAGTCTCCCGTCCTATTTCCCATATGAGTCTTATCGGCGAAGAACAGCCTGAGAACTCTTTGGTTGGGATGCAGAGCAGACATTTGCTGTGCGTGCCCTTCGCGAAAACATCACTTTATCGCTATCGTGGACACCATCATCAAGGATGTCACTGGGCGCAAGGGCCCTCCCCCCAGGCTGAGAAGAGTTCCTTTTTGTTACTCTCATGGTTCAACTGGTAAGGCCAAGACCAAGCCAGGAGCCCAGTTTCACCACATACCCTGGGTCCCTAAATCCCCCAATTCTGCAGATAATTTCTCTTTGGCATGAAGGGTCGACCCAATTTTCATAGTGGGGGGAGGGGGAGCATCTGTTGTACCTTGCGGACGACTGGATAGACAACATCTCATATTCCTGGGTATGGAAGGTGGTTTCCAGGGGCTACAAACTAAAGTTCTTGAACAAAGCCCCGCCTAGATTCTTTCGCTCTTTCACGCCAACAAAAATAGGCTTATTAGTAAAGGTAGTTGGAGACTGGCGCCATTGAGGGGTTGGGAGCGGTGTCATGTTCATTACCTTTTGCCGGATTTTCCTTTCATGATCTAAGCCCTGCCAACTGTGATCCCTTTGTCCAGTGCCCTATACGATGGATTTTTTGGCCCATAAAGGTAGTACCAGGTATCTTGTAGGTTTTGCTCTTAGGGAGGACTTTACTACTAAAACATAATAGATACAAGTGCACCTTAAGTCTGTTAGGTATTGTCTTCCCAACTGCTTGACCGCACATGCTGCAACCTGACAAACCACAAATAAGGTTGAGCAGTGGAGACAGTAAGTGTCAGACTTGGGCTACATTCACACTAGGTGCGATTTAGATGCTTTTATATGCGTTTACAAAGTTTGTCTAAACCCATATACAGTATATGCATCTAATGATTTCCAATGGATTTATTCCCACTTTGCGTTTAGATGCTTTTATCTGCAGTCAGTTTACCTGCGTTTAGAAAAAAATAGACGGCAGGTGCATCCAGGAATCACTTTACTTCTAAATGCACCAAAATGTGTGTAAAAGCGGTTTGAAGCTTGAATTTGGTACCAGATGCATCTAACCGCATGTGCATGTAAATTTGCGTCATTCAATGCATCTTGAAGCATAAACAAAACATGTAGCCTGGCAGATCTTCTCTGCATAAAAATGCAAATCGCAAGTGTGAATGAAACCTTAAAGCGTACCTTAGCCCAACAACAGAAATATATTGCAACTTACCAATCCTTAGATGTGGTGGCTGGCTGCATTCCTTTTATTTTTCTGCTTATGTTCATCTGTAAAGAAGAGATTTCTAACTTGGAGAAACCATGCTAATATTTCTGTGTAGGTGTAATATGTAAATGATTACAGTTCCAGTATTTTATTTATTTTACCTTTTTTACATTTGTATGATGCCTTCGCTACATTTATTTAATCACTTTGCTGGAGAGCACAGTGTTTTGATACTTAAAGGGGTTCTAAACCCTCCGGTTTTTTTGCCTATATCTACTGCTAGCAAGCAGTAGATATAGGCAAAAAGTTTTTTAAAAAAACCCTTTAAAAGCGGTGTAAACTTACCGCTGTCTTCGCCGCACGCTCCCGTCCGAAAATCTGAAACTGCTCGGGCGGCCGCAAAGCATCTTGCGCAGTTCGGATTTTCGGCCGGGACATGAGGAGAGATGCAAGGTATGTCTATGGACGCGTGCACCTGCATGCAGACACCGTGGGACAGGAAGTGCCAGCAAGCTCAGAGGAGTCAGCGCTGGATCGGAGACCTGCAGCAGGGCTGGAGAGGAGGCTGAAAATGACAGGAAAGAAGAAGATCGGATTAAGAGACATCATTTAAGGTAAGTGCTGACATTAACATTGGGGGAGGGAATTTTTTTTTTACTTTAAGGTCACTTTAAAGAAGAAATCTTAACCCTTGCAGTGGGGCTACCCCCTCACTGCAATGGTTAAGTGCTCATTTTGTCTGCGGAGCTAAAATGACATATAAACTCACCCAAACCTTGGATCCAGCTGGCTGTTAGACCTGTCCCTGCAACCTCGCTCCCCCCTCCAGCGATGGAATGTCCCTCGGCATTCTAGCATACAATACTTTGTTTTGGGCTTTAATTAGCAAGCCCTCACTCACCTGTGTAGAAGCAGTGCTTTTGTTGTGAGGAGCAGTTGCTCTACAGTCTTTGAAGCTCAAGGTTCAGGATGCCTTGTGTGACATTTACTGTTTGTTAAGAATATGTAAATACTTTAATGGCCTATTTTAAAGGATGGTCACTGGCCAGCTACTATAGTTCCACAGGGGTGTGGACATTTAAAAAAAACTACTTGTCCTGGGACTATGGTGGGGGCCCAATCTACTTGTCCCTCATGACGATCTACTTGTCGTGATGCAAAAAATTATTTTAACCAAAACCGTATTTAACCGCACTAAGAATAAGAAGTGCTTCTTCTGACCAATGAGTGTTTGCAATTTGCGAGAGAAATTCAAAATCCATAGCGCAGGGCTGCACTGGACAGAAGTATGGGGTACAGATGGTACACCTGTACTGGTGGAGGGGCAGGACCGTTCGCCAAAAGGTAAATATAGCGGGGGGATGGAGAGGGGGTCAGATCTGAGCAGGTAATTCAATTTTCCCAAATTACTTGGGAAAGTGAACTTAAGGTGCCTATACACCTGCCGATTATCGTACAATAATCGCTGGTGATCCCGCGATCGTACGATAATCGGCAGGTGTATGGAAGGCGTGCAACCGTTTCTACTGTACAGTCGCACGTCTTTTGTCTTCTGAGCACGCTTGAAAACCTGCAGAAAATCGTAAGATTTTCGGCGGGTTGGTGGCGTGCTCGGAAGACAAATGCCGCACAGGCCTGTGTGCGCAAGCGCACACTGCCCACTCAGCATTGGAATCATTGCAAGCTTGCGATGATCACAATTACAATCTGCCTATCCAAGATGGACAGATCGTATGAGATTTCAATTAACTTACAACCAAAGTCGTGCGATGGTTGTAAGTAGGGATGCACCGATACCGGTATTTTGGTGCCGTGTATGAGTAACGTTAATTTTGTTCCGGTACTCGCCGATACCAATTACCAAGTAACGGAAGTCCCATTCAGGAAGCCAGGTGGTGTGTAATGACTCGCCACCTGGCTTCCTGATTAGCCGGGCAGCGTGTAAAGACTCGCCGGGCAGCGTGTAAAGTCCCCTGTTACCTTTTAGTATGTGCAGGCTGTCACCCCCGGGGCCTCTCCAGCGAGAACGCGGCCTTCCTCTGGTACCCAGCCGGAGCCGTCTGGCCGGCCAATCCGGAAGCTAGGTGCCGTGTAATGACTCCACGCCCTGCTTACTGATTGGCCGGGAAGCTGGCTTTGCGCTCCCTCGTCATCTCATGACGAGGGAGCCGGCCTCCCAGCGGGTGGCTGGCTTGGTTTTACATTTTTATTTTTTTACTTTTCGCTTTTTTCATTTATTTATTTTTACCACTCAACTTTATTGCTATCATACAGGGGACTGCCCTCCAATACAGAAGATTGAGCACAGCATTGTGCTCGATGTTCTGTACAGCCCAGCTTCTGACAAGACAGCTGAGACCAAAAGCACTGTGAGTACAGTACTCCTGTCTCACTGATCACAGCAGATTGGAGAACAGAAGTTCCCCGGTCTGCTTCCCGCTCTCTATCCTGAAGCCATTTGCCATGGTCCGGGTACCCTAGAAGAGCAAGGGACCCCAAAAAACATGGGGGGGGGAACACAACATCACTTGTACAAAATGAGTGGCGGCTCCCCTGCTCTACATTTAACTCTGCTTGCCTGCTGCGTAGCAGGGCTAGATGGGATTTTTTCTACATCAGCCCCATGCACGGAATTTCATGTATTGGGCGATAGGGATTGGGCACCCCTGGTTCCAGATTCTTACACTGCAACTGAAAAACAAATGGATCACTATCATCATGTCATTGTATGTTCTGTTGTATTTTCTTCCCATGTTCTTCATGCTCCTACTAACCGCTTTAAGATTGAAAAGGATGCTTTTTGAATCCACGTCACATGCGGCTTGTTTTTTTAAATGTCATTTTTACTAGTGCATGGAATCCTAAATATGAGTAGATACACGCCTGAAAGGAGCTGAATTATTCATTCAGTGACCAGTAGCTATTACTTCACCTTTTGTGGTTTCTAGTGGTCCAGTCTGCCCGTTCTGTAATATGATCAAGAGATGGGAATCCTTGTGATCCAGCCAGCTATCTTCTGCACTAGAAAATGGGCTGTGGTGTTCTATTCAGTATCTGATTCTGAAACCACAGAGCGTTTTTAGACAAGCGGATTGGGCAGTCGTCAAACGATTATGAAGTTAACACACTTATGAAAAGGATTTGATTGACGCTTATTTGTTATGTGTGTGTTTCCAGGGAGGTGAAAACATATCAGTAGCATCAGATACAGAAGCCCTGGAAAACCAAGTAAGTACCTTTTTTTACTTGATCTACAATAAAGCTCAGACTAGTATGGCTGTGAGGAATTCTGGGAAGGATCCTTTTGTGTGATCGGTGCAGTTTATTTATGAAAACAGGAGCTGAGGAGAAATAATGCCATTTACTTTACAGTGACTGTTAGGCTGCATTCACATGCGCACTGGATACAGAAGAGAACCCAGCACCAAATTTGCTCATTACTTGGGCCCCATTGTTTAGAATGCGTTAGGTAAGGTCAAAGTCTTTTACTGCCTGTATGAAGCCAGGCTTATTTACCCAAAATGATGAATTGCAACTATACAAAGCTTAGTAAGGAGGGTGAAGTACATTAGTGAATAAAGACAGCATCATTTATGTCCGTAGATTTAAAGTGCACTTGCCATTAGTTTCATTCCCTAGCTGTAGGTTTCCTGATAAGCTATCTATGAAAAGCAAATACAAGTCCTCTCTTGACAACGGCCTCTGTGGAGTATATTAGAGCTTCTTTCCTCAAAGAACTTTTCCCACCAATTACATTTCTCCCAAAACAGTTATTTGTAAGGCATGCCAACTGTCAAGGTCATCAGTGCGCTTATTTGGCTCTCAACCAAACTTTCAGGCCCTCAAATGGCTGGTGTCATAGCTGATCTCATGTGCAGCACCATGGCAACTGCGATCCAAATGGAGGATAACTTCCTTGGCTATAAGGGATAGGAGGTGGTAGTTCTGCTTTAAGGCTTCACACCTAAGTGGGAGCAGAGCAAGGCGATTTAGAGGATTTTCTTGTGTTACATATGCCTTGTACAGAAGCTGAATCGTGTATTTTTGGTCCCATAGATTTTGAACTGGGAGCACCTGAAAAACGCACCTTTTTTTTGATTGTTTTTCAGGTGTTCAGGATAAAGGCTTTGGGGCCAAAATGTTCCATTCTACCCCATAGGAAGCCTCATGCAGCAAGTGACACGATGCTTAGGTGTGAACTGGCCCATTGAGAATAATAAAATCTTGAGCACTGTCCTGCTTCAGGAATCCCTTGACAATTGTGATTGGGATCTAATATTTTGTTATTGACTATCTTAGCTGGCTCACTGGTATCTCTGCTGATAGTTAAAAGGTGCTCTGATAGCCAGCCTGACGTGATAATCTAGCCTCAAGCAAATGAAAGCTCAATCTGTGCTCCCTTGGCCAATACACAATAGTCTAAAATAATACTAATGGTAACAATCACATTTTCTTGCTTCTCATGAAAGTCATTGACTCTGCCTTGTGGTTTTGAGGATAGTCAGTGGAAGACTGTGGTGTCTTTCAGAGCAGCATTTCTTCCTATGTGTAGTAATGTGTGGGATGTAGGGATCGGCAGAAGGGAACTGTATAAAGATTGAATGTATAGAAATGTCACCAGCACACCAATTATTCAATGAAATCTGTGAAAGTCCATTTATTGAAGGAACATCGCCATTCAAAAACTAGCGCTTTCGGGGGCCACACAGGGTCCCCTTCATCAGGCTCAGAATTAAATTTTTTGCCGAAAGCGCTAGTTTTTGAATGGCGATGTTCCTTCAATAAATGGACTTTCACTTATTTTATTGAATCATTGGTGTGCTGGTGACCATTCTATACATTTAGTTTGTTCATGGTGTCATCCCTGGTCGCTGTGTACCTGTATATCAGGTATTTATATCCGGTAAGGAGTGCAACAAGATACTTGTTTTACCTGTATAAAGATTGGCCTTGGCATGTAGCAGCAGAATGTGAAGCGAGTGCTTTAAAAATCTGTACTTTCAAGGCCGTTTTTTAAAATCTTTTATTTAGGCAAATGATCTCTCACGAAAGCAGGCGAGGGCGTCATTGTCTGATTTATCCACACTGGATGAAATAGAAGCACTCACCATCCGACAGCTGAAGGAAATCCTGGCTCGCAACTTTGTCAACTACTCAGGCTGCTGTGAAAAGTGGGAGCTGGTGGAGAAAGTCAACCGGCTGTACAGAGAGAACGAGGAGAACAGAAAGTCCTGTACGTGAGGGGATTTAGTGCTTGTTCTTTCTCAGTTTATCTCTGTGTTTATGGATGTGGGTAGAGAATAAGGAGGAGCTCTGCTGTACAAAGTCATGTGTGTGGAAGGAATGTCTGAGCGGGACTGCAGCAGTACCATCATGGTGCTCCAGTCTGAGGCAGTTGTACAGAAAGGAAAGACCTTAGAGCACACTTCTCATCAATCATGAGAAGAGATACCCTGTGAATAGCTGCATCCCCTGCTAGCTCATGCTCTCTGTATGTTGAGGTTGTGATGTTCTAGACTTACCTGCAGTTGCGGTGGGACTACTCATGGCTATTTACTGCTGTTTTTGTTTTCCGCAATGCGAGTGAGACCGCAAAGGCTGCTGCCACATAGAGAGTCACCTGAGAAGAAATGCTCATCTTGTATTGTTACAAGTTCACATATAGCAGAGCTAAAACCCCAAATACATTTGCATTAGCTTTTTTGAGTTGATCAAAAATATGCTGTGCATAATCTAAATCAAGCAATATAGTTTATGTTTTTATATGGTGTTCTGCCTTACACACTAGTGGTTATAAAAAGCAATGGTGGTCTTTTATATAATCATATATGTGTAATAATCAAATAATCTGTTTTCTCTTTCAGTGGAAAATCTGGAATTCAAACCTGACCAAGGTTAGTTATCTTAGAAAAGTGTGAACACCGGAGATTTGTACTTTATTTTCCCCTAAAATGATTCCTGCACTGTCCAAAACCAGTTGCCTGTAGGAGCATGTGTGGGATAGAAAAGGGCATAAAAGAGAGGGGAATATACACTGAGTGGCCAGATTATTATGACCACCCCATCAGTACTTCATTGGGCCACCTTTTGCCTTCAATACTGCGGCAAAAGGTGGCCCAATGCATCTACAAAAAGCAGCTGACGCGTTTTTGCTGCACTCTGCCATAGTCCAGCTGTGACTAAGGACAAGTAAGCAAGAAATGTGTCAGAGATGCTTGTACAGATGCATGTGGACAAAAAGCAATTGCTGATGTGCTTCTGTCTCACTGGGCCATAGTCCAGCTATGATTAAGGCCAAGTGAGGAAGAAAGGCTTTTTTTTTATTTATTTTTTTATATATAATATATACAGGCATGTGCAATAGAAGTAATTTTTTTTCTTTTTGGTTGTTGTGTGCCAGTATTTGCAATTTTAGTTTATTCGAGCACTGGGTTTAGAGTGCAAAGGCGAGCATAAGGGGTGAGCTGTGCTATTTTTGTTGCTAACTAACAATAGTAGTAGGGAAGGTTTTAGAACCACCCGCAGACATGAGTGCTCCCCAGCATAAGCCACTCTCATCTCATGCCCATAGATACTCATGATACCGCTAATATTGTTCCTTGCCGTCCTATCTTTCATGTATGCAGCTCTTCTCTCCTCTTCCTGGATACACTTTCTAACATCTGTCTCTTTCAGAACGAGATCGACTGCAGCTGACTGGTAATGATGACAACCTCTGCCGCATTTGCATGGATGCTGTCATCGACTGCGTTCTCCTGGAGTGTGGCCATATGGTAACATGTACCAAGTGTGGAAAGAGGATGAGCGAATGTCCAATCTGCCGGCAGTTCGTGGTGCGGGCTGTTCACGTCTTCAAATCTTAAATATCCAGACCAAATAAGATGCGTGTGACTTGGCTCCTCTTCTTGGGGCACAAAGTGTATGGAGAAGAAGAAAAAAAAAAGGAAAACGTATTTTCTGTATAGCTTCTGAGTGATCTGTTGTTAGAGATGTTTTGTAATTCAGTTACAGTTAGGGTGTGTACAGAGAACTTGAGAAGTGTTCAGACAAACTGCATGCTGGTGTATGTTCATGAATCTGGAATGAATGATCTCATTCTAAGAAATAAAATATTTACTTGTGGAATGGAAGACTGAAAACCTAGTTTTTAAATGTATATTCATATTACATGACGGATTATCTTCCCGTCTTCAAGTGGAACGTTGGTGTACATTAAAAAAAACCTGCGAGAAGGAAATCGGTTTTATCACAGAAGACGCACACATAATATTTCTCTTCTGCAATAAAGAATTCTTACCCTCCTCCTCACAATCTTCTTACACTACTTACTAAGCTGCACAGCTCCGTGTACAGTTTCAGCATCTGCCGCTGTTCCAGGATGAATGCGCTCCCATGTGCATGCAAGCCAGTCAAGATGGCCAATGATATTGTATACAAAATGCTCAGCACTAACAATATCCTGATTTTTCAAGAAGTAAAAACCTTAAACGATGTCTCTAATAGAAGAAAAAGTGTTTTTTCAATGATGAATCCTCCCGTCTGTGTTCTCCCATAAATGTTTCAAAGGAGCACTCACCAGAACAAGTGGGCCATTAAGGTTAATGGTCTAACAGCGTCAGAAGGCAGTTATTTTTGTAGGCTTCCTGGTTCTTCCATCCAAGAACCATCTGAACACTTTTGCTATTATTAGAGACATTGTTTTTACTTTTTGAAAAATCAGGATATTGTTGGCTCTGAGCATTTTGTATACAATATTTCTGGAAAGGCTATTTTGTCTTTTTTTTTTTTGCACAGCTGCTGTTGACGGAATATTTTTTAGAGGGTAGGCGCGCAGATCTCTTTTCGATAAGATGACCAATGAGCCCAAACCTAAAAGAAGCTGGTGGGAAGATGCCAGTGAGGGAGCTCTTGGCCGTTGTGGCGCTGGAGGGGAGGGGAGAGGAGTAAGGTTCCACTTCATTTGTTCTCGCTGTTGGTATTTATTTTGTGTGACAAAATTGCGATTTAACAATTTATGATCTTTAAGTGTATTTCCACTTTTCCAGCCAAATTGGCATAACACCTATTTTATATTGCTATGTGACTTTGGTTAGGGTTTTAAGGGGTTTACATTTCTTCTAGTGTCTAAGACAGGGGTCAGCAACCTGCAGCTCCGGATCCGCATGTGGATCTTTCATCCCTCTACTGTGGCTCCCTGTCCAGAGGTGGAACTGCCTTGGGGCCTGAGGCTGTGGGGGGGCCCAATGAGGCCCGGTCCTGGGCACCCCCCCTGGTGGAATATGCAGCAGTGCAGGGTCCCGGGGCCCCGCACTGCTGACGGGCTTCTCAGTAAGGGGGCGGGTCTTGTGACTCACCTCCTCTCCTGGCCGCGTCCCTAGTAACAGGCAAGGGGAGAGAAGTGTGTCACATGCCCCGCCCCCTGCAGTGCACACCTGGCTGTGAGGCTTGGCAGGCGAGTTCGAATGGGGGGGGTGGGGGTGAGTGCGTTACTAAGCCCAGAGTCCAGTGCGTTGCTAAGCCCACATATACCTATATACATGGCATAAAGGTAAAAAAATATGTAGTGTTATCTTCATTTTAGATGTCAAAAGGGTTTTGTGGCTCCCGGTGTTTTCTGTGGTCCAAACGGCTCTTTGAGTGTTTAAGGTTGCTGACCCTTGGGCTAAGAGAAACCTGGAATCAGCCATCTTGCCTGAATTAACAAAACATCTAAAAGGTAAACATTTTCTTTAAAGTTATTTTTCAGTATGCTGTGTGAACAGGAACACATAACGAACATATGGAGGGGGGTTTCCTAAATTTGACTGCAAAAGTGGAAATACAGTATAAATTGTGGCACCCAAGGCTGTAGAAATGTGTGCTACTCCTTTCAAGAAGGTACTTTCAAAATAATTGTGAGACACTGATCTAAAACAATGAAGACTGGTTCCCTTTTTTTTGTAGTAATAAGTGACTATTTGTGAACAATCTGCTCTTCTGTGTTGTGGAACATCTGACATTTTTGGGTGTGTCAGTCTTGTTGACACTTATTGATACAAGAAAGGCAAATGTTCCTCTATATTTTGTACAGCATGGAATCTGCCTGCATTGCTTTCGATTATGATATAGTATCTTATCTCATGCACAAAAATGTAATTTCTTTATCATCCATTTGAGGGACACCGGCATATTCCTAGACGTGTGGGTATATGCAGTTGCCATCAGGAGGCAGGCACTGAGAAACAGAAAAATAAATAAAGGTTGAAAAACGTCCACTATAAACCCACCCTGGTCATGCCTACGTTTTTTTTTTTTTTTGCTGGTGTCCTAGGAGATTGGTTGCTTTGCTGAGGAGACATATTTTGCCTTTTTTTCCCTATTGATTTTGTTTCCCCTATCAATATACTTGGTTCTCAGGAGATTTTCTTTTTCCTCTTCAAACAAGACTTTTATTACACTGATTGAGCTAGTCTCTGTGCGGAAGCTATCTGGATCAGCTGATCTTCTACATAGCCTTGGAAGCCTTACCCAGACCCCGCTTGGAATGAAGATACAAGGCCTGCCTGTCCAATTTCTGTCAGCAGTCCCACTTCTGTGGGCTTCTCTGGCTCATGTTGCACTGACAATTAGGGGGCTGAACGCATTGTCCTTCCTTGGGGTCCTGAAGCAGACTACCAAGACAATTGTCCCCCTACTGGAGTCTCTCGCATCTCAGCCTCCACCTTTGCTTGTCGGGTGCAGCACCCTCATCTGTCATTCTCCAGGGAGAAGGTTTTTTTTTCCCCCCGTTCTGGGCACCTGCTTGTATGGGAAATCTGTTCTATGCTGTAGCAGGATCTCAGCCTGCAGCTCATACAGCCACACTACCTCATAGGGGAGCAAAATCTTTTTCTCATGTGGACTGCAGATATTGTAGCCACAAACCTTTTTCTAAACCATACTCCCCACTTTTACCAATGGGATTCCTCCCCCCACCACCCAAGTTCCCTTGAAAACTCTACCTTTTCGTTAAATGCTCAGGTTTGTTTATCCTGCAGCTTCGACTCTGGACCCTGTAACCAGGTACCTGATCTTTTGGATTTTTCTTTATTTTCTAGATTTTGATACCCCAGTGTATCTAATCCTGAAATATTTAGGCTCTGTGTAGTGTAACTTACTCCCCCTATTATTCTGGACCCTGTCTTGGTGTAAGGTCCCTCCTTTTATACTAATCCCAGGATCATTGCACTCTTGTGGTGCTTATACTGTATACCTGAAGACTTGTCTCTCTCAAGTGGGACTTCTCAGCCTATATGGTCGGTAAACATCACCTGTCTATTGAGCTTCCCGAGGATACGGGTCTCTGTTACAGCACTGAACATTACATCCACACTAGTGCCCCTAGTTTTCCCATTGCAGAATGCTCACTGAGATTTCATTTCTGGAAGTCCCCAGTTATATGAAGTGTCATCTCTTCACTTACAGTATAACAAACCATGTTCTATTTACCACCACAGATTGTGTGATTTATGGGAATACTTCTCTTTCCTACTGTCTCTCAGTATTTGTTATCCCGAGTTACAGATTCTGGATTTTGCACTATAAACAATTGATTGTCATTGATCTACCCAATCTCACTTTCTAATGCGGGTTTCTGGATCAGATGGGAAGTCTCGTCTGCCCTCTCCCTTTTCTATCTATATTCTGGATGTCACATAAAACATGGTGACATCACCAGTGAGAATCTAGGAGTCATTCAATGTCACCTCACACGGGTGTGGAATTCTTATCGCGGGCGGGTAGTATGTTTTTTATTCTTCTAGATTTAGCCCTGCTGCGAGGGAGCAGCCGCTTATTTAGTACATGTGATCTCAGATCACTTGTATAAAATGAGCAGCCATCTTGTCCGCCCCCCCCCCCCCCC